CACATGTCCTTTGCCGAGATGAGGCTGAATCTCCTTTTCTGCTTCTTTAGGTGGGCTGTCGTAATCGTATCTGATCCATGATGAAGAATGAACTATCCACACACATAAGATGAGGCGGTGAAGTCTCTCGACCAATGAAAAGTCAGCAAATCTGTTAGTATCGCTGCCAAGAAGACTAAAAATCAGATTCGACCCAATGGCACGCGCACAAACAACGTGGATCGTATTTTTATACACTGATAGTTATGCAGTACTGCATATTACGGAGTACATAGTACCTAATTATTCAGTTCTGCCCAGTGACGGAAGAAGTCCACGACAATCAGGGGTCAGCCTGACAATGGTCCGACAGGGTAATGATCGTGTGGAGTAGTCGGGGAAACTGAACTGCCCAAAGACCAATCTGACTTTGCTTTGGGGCTAGGAGAATAAAGAGAAGGGGGAAAAAAAGAGAAAAAGAAGACGAAAAAGCAGAAAACCCCCTGGAAAAAGAGAAAGACGGGGCCCGTAAAGGAAGACATTGCGAGGCCGGAGCGGAAGGATGCTTGGACCATCCGTCGTCTACACAACTCAACATTAGCACTACACTTTCTCCGTCTTGCGGGCCGCCTCTTCTTCTTCCCTTCTTCTTTCTTCAACCTCCTGCTTCCTCACGGTTCGCCCTCCTCGATTCGCACTTGCGTCTGCGGCTCCTTTTCCTTTTTTTTTTTCTCCTTTCTCTTCTTCTTATAGCCCTTTTTTGTCTTTTCCTGTTGCCCTCTGGGTCGCTCTCCTTCAGTACGCTCTGTTGGTCGATCATCCCCCTTCCCGCGCGCTCTGTCAAGTCCCGGCGCTTCACATTCCGCTCCGCTCGGTACTTTTTCCCCGTGCGCCTTTCTGCTTTCGGTGGCTTGAAGAGGGCCATTGGATACGAAGAGGGAGGCATCACCGGTCCTTTGTCCAGCACACAAGCAGGCGATATATCATCAGTCACATCCTGCCACTCTGTTCAGCATGGTTCGAGGACGGAGATCGAGCAATCTGGGTGCGGACATCCGCGGTGACACTGGCGCACCGGCCATGTCTACCATGAACGAAGTCAGCCCAATTGATGCTGAAGCCCCGAACTGGGACAAGGTATGATCACATTACGCCCCATCGTTGGCTCTCATTGGCATATGTCTCCCTTCCACTCCGCTCACTTCACCATTAGGTGCTGCAGTCCAGTGCCTCCGATGACAAGTCGACTAAGCCGCCTACGAAACGCCGCAAGAAGTCCTCTTTGCGCCGCTTCAAGGATGTTTGCCTGAAGCACACCTGGCTTCTGCCGTTGCTCATCCTCATTGTTCTTCTGTTCCTGTATGCGATCAACCCGACAGAATCGAATCCGCTGCACAGCGCCATCTTCCTGTCCTACCCGCAGCCCCCGAAGTACCCCGGCGGTCCGATCATGTACGGCAAGGGCCCCAAGGATATTGCTTTCGTCTCCTTCTACACGGTGGTTTTGTCATTCACTCGTGAATTCATGATGCAGCGCTGGATCCGACCCTTTGCGGTGTACTGTGGCATTCGCGGAAAAGGCAAAACTGCTCGGTTCATGGAGCAGGTGTATACAGCTATCTACTTCGGAATCTTCGGTCCCTTTGGTCTGTACGTCATGTACAGATCAGACATCTGGTATTTCAACACTACGGCCATGTTTGAAGGCTTTCCTCACCGGGAGCATGAGGCGCTGTTCAAGGCCTACTACCTGCTGGAGGCGAGCTACTGGGCGCAACAAGCGATTGTCTTGATGCTTCAGTTGGAGAAGCCACGCAAGGACTTCAAGGAGCTGGTGGCACACCACATCATCACCTTGGCCCTGATTGGACTGAGCTACAGGTTCCATTTCACTTACATGGGTATCGCCGTGTATATTACGCACGATATCTCTGACTTCTTCCTTGCCGTATGTACTCCAGCCCCTCCCCTTAACCCAAGTTGATAATAACATGGCTGCGTTATAGACTTCCAAGACCCTCAACTACCTCGACCACTGGATCACCGCGCCGTACTTCGGTATGTTCGTCGGCATGTGGATCTATCTTCGCCACTACCTGAACTTGAAGATCCTCTGGGCTGTTCTGACCGAATTTCGCACCGTTGGACCTTTCGAGCTCAACTGGGAGACTCAGCAGTACAAGTGCTGGATTAGTCAATACATCACCTTCGCCTTGCTGGCCAGTCTGCAAGCTGTCAATTTGTTCTGGCTTTTCCTGATTCTGCGTATCTTGAAGAACTACCTCATCAGTGATATCAAGAAGGACGAGAGAAGCGATGACGAGGATACGGAGGACGAGATTCCTGTTCCCGAGGCAAGCAGCCATGCCGCCATCGCAACGGGCATCGAGGAGCCGACCCTGAGTGCCCGCAGCAAAGAGAACAAGACCCCCCAAGTCCTTGTGAACGGTCAGCCGGTGAACAACAAGCACTAGTCAATTGCAAATTGCAGTCAGAATGGTCTCTCACTATCCAGCTGCGGCGAAAGTGCGCATTCCAGCAGTCCATCCTGGGATCGTGTAGCCCACCCTTGTGTGAGGCTTGTCTATAACTTTTAACATTCCCAAGAACATTTTATGGCATCCATGTTCGAACCCCTTTTTTTATTTCCCATTTCCTTTTCGTGAACAAACCCGACAGTTGTATTTTCTCCATGTCCTCTTCCCTCTGCATGGTTATCAAATGCAAGTGGGTGTATGAGGGTAACGGCTGGCTTTGCATGCACCGTGTTTTGTGGTGTCGGTCATTTGGGCGGGCGTACCTGGGGATGCAACTTTGAAATGGATATAAGCGATGAATCTGCCACGACTGCGCACTTCCTTTTTCTGTTTCTTTGTTTTGTTTTGATGGCCGTGCGGAGAGCGGATCTTTTCTTTTCTTTCCGGAGAAGTGAAGGGCGCATTGGGACCGCCTGCAGATGTCTAATCTAATATAGTAATAGATCCGCGCTGGCTGACAATCGGTCGGTGCGATTCACTTTCGATTTTCTCCAGACATTACCTCCCGTGCATAATCACATGCCAAGTGGCATTAGCATTTACTGGTTTACTTCCCGATTTTTCCAGATCTAGACTCACAATGTCTGATGCAGGATCCAAACAGGATACGAGATTATATCAGTACGTTGCTGTTTCAAACAATTCTTGAGGGAAATTCATGGTCTTATACATGAAAAAAAAACATTGCATCATACAGAAAACCCCGGCCGAAGCGAACGAGGAATTTTGGTTGTCTATCTACTGCTGCGGACGATCCGGAGACACCGTCCCCTTAACCTTGGCCGTCTCCGTCTCGCCCTCGCCCTTGACACTCTTCCCGGGCTCGTTCACATGCGGATGATCCGTAGTGGCATTGGAAATCCCCTCCTGCTTACCGGAGATGGTCGACGCATTCCCCGCTTCCTTGCGAGTTGAGGGCTTTTGGGTCTGAGTTAGCATTCCTCGATCACGATACAGAAGTCTAGACTTTTCGGTACAAGAATGAGGGGGGTAAAGGATGTTGGAGGGAAACCGACCTCATCAGCCTCCGACGGCGCCTTCCCATCCGTCGAAGCGGTTGCTGCTGGTCCCGAATCCGACTCGGTCTTCTGTTCGGCGTCCCGGTCCGGTTGAGGGGCCGAGTCCTGGGCCGAGGCGGATTCTTCCTTCTCGATCGGGGCCGAGGTCGAGGTCTTGCCCTTGGGTTCGCCGTGGTGGTGCGTGTCCGGCGTGTCGTGCGAGGAGGCGGCGGCTTTGGGGCCCGTCGCCAGGAGGTAGTAGGCTCCTGGGATGCCGAGGCCGAGGGAGCCGATGAGCCTGGTTTTTTCTGGGGGTTAGTTTTATTGGTTCTGGGGGGAAGGGGGTTGTCAATGGTGAGTGGAAGAGGAAGCCAATTGAGCAAGATTGACACAGGTTAAGGGGGCCTGGAGGTAATCCCACTCCACTCACCAAGGAAGATCGGAGGACTTGTTGGTCGATTCGGCGGCTTGGGCGTATGTTCGACGAGCGAATTGCTGGGTGGGCACAGTTTGTCGCACGGTGCCGAGGGCTCGGGCGGAGGCGCGGAGGATCTGAGGGCGTGCGAGAACCATTGTGTTCGTCGATTCTAAAGATTCTAGATGGTGGGATGGGAGGAATTGAGTGTGTAGGATGGTATGGATGAAGCAATTGATGTGGGTATGGTATAATTGGGAGGGAGAGGAGAAGGAGAGAAGGAAGGAAGAAGGAAGGAAGAATAGAAAGAGAGGAGGGATCAAGGTGTGAAAAGAGGAGGCTGGCTGGATTTCGGAGGGAGGAGGAACGATGATGGTATGACTTAATGGCCAGGGAGTTGTATTATAGTTGTAGTTACACTCACGGAGCGGGCATTGCCGGCGTGATCTTATAGCTTATAGAGTAAGAGTACGGAGACTCCGTAACTACTCCGTAGCTGCATCGTACAGTATTGATTACACCAAATGATGTAATGTCCCCATGCGGAGATCGGCCGCGGTGCTTCTTCCCTCCCGGTTATTTCTCCGTATTGCGCTATACTTAGCTTACTACGGAGTACTTGAGTATGTACTTGCCTATACTTCCTTTTGCTTCTCTGATATGCATTTATCGTGAGCATCACTGCCTACAGTTCGTTGAGCCTCTTCATCATCAGCGTTTCATCCTCACTGAATGCAATGGCTAATCTTGGTGTGCTGTGGTGGCTGAATGCGCGGATGGCCGGTGCCGCCTTCCGGAGAAGCTTACTGCGGCCTCAGGCAGCCAGCTCTGATAGCATCAGCTCGACTTGATTGACTATCCGTAGTTATCACAATCACTATCGATCCGACTTTCATTCCCCTCACCACCTCCCTTCACTCTCCCCTTTACGTGTTGGCTCATCTCCTAAAGTCTTTTGCACTTTCTTGACCCCTCTTTATACCATCTCTACAAAGACCTGTACTTCGTTCTCACATCTCTGTTCACAAGCGCCCACCTTTGACACCTCAAATTCCAGTGCGGGGCTTCATCATGGGGGACCGACAAGCAGCGCAGCACACTTTGAACAACTTGCTTCATAAGCTGGATGATCCCGATCCGGATATGAGATACATGTCCCTCAATGATCTTCTTGGTCTTCTAAACAACCCAAACTCGTCATATCTGGCTCATGACCAAGGCTCCGCCTCGAAGCTGGCCGAGGGCCTCCTCAAGGCGCTTGATGATCAACACGGCGATGTCCAAAACCAGGCACTGAAATGGCATGCTCCCCGCTCTCTTGATCATCACACACACAACTGACTCCTCTATAATGAATAGTCTCGGTCCCCTCGTTCATCGACTACCATTTGAGAACCTCGCCTCTCTTCTCGAAAAGCTCACCAACCTCACTGCCTCCCAAACCATCGATACATCCGTCCCCAACACCGCGCTACGATACATCGTCACTGCTCTCCCTCGCCCTCAGGCTGGACAGCCTCCCAGCCAAGAGGCCACTTCGGCTTACTCGGCGGTGTCTCGTGTGCTCATACCTCGTCTGACGGGGCCCATACCATCACCTTCCAGCAGAAGAGGGTCTGTTGTCAAGGGTATGCTCGAGAAGGATCCATCCAAGGGGTTCAGCAGCGATGCCATTGATGTTTTTATTCAAGTTGTCACTTGCTTCGGACCACTCTTGCAGGAAGCTGAGCTGACCGCCCTGCAAAACTCCGTCATGTCCATTGTTGATAACGACACGGCTGGTACCGTGGTGACGAAGCGCGCACTGGCAGCCATCTCGGCCTTGGTCCTTCATTTCTCCGACCATCAGCTTAACCTCTTCGTGAAAGATCTCACCAAAAAGTTCAATTCTCAACCCACTACGATCCACCAGCGTCACCTTGTCGCCACGGTGGGCAGCATAGCGAAGAGCGCCCCCGCAAAGTTTGGGCCCTACCTTCCGACGCTGGCGCCATTCGTGTTCTCAGCCCTTGGTGAGGATGCAGTGGCACCAGTCAGCTGAGCTGACTTTCTTGTGATGCTCCGATGGACTCCTCAAAAGACAAATTCCAATGTAATGTAGGATCTCGTCTCGATAGATTGATGAACTCCCGGTTATCGCTGGACCTCGTGGATTACTATACCCTCAATGAAAATCATGGTCTCATATCTACTTTCCGAACTAGTCCACTTGTGCAAGATCACCCCAGTTGTATTCTGGACGACTATCTGATATCGCCAACGATGCGCGCCTCCTGCTCGCCACGGCTGGTTGGCAGGGATGGCAGCCACTGCCGTGCCCGCGTAACTTCCCGATATTTGGATATGAACTGCTACCCAAGGAGTTTCTAGGAAAACCTCCAGGAACCGAGAAATATATTGTGCTTTGAGCTGGTGTTTCTGTCGCAACTGGGCTATCAGTCAAGATGGGCATGTGTTGACGAGGAATACATGGAAGCAGGGTATGTGGTTCTTCCGGCTGGTTGCCTGTCTTTATTGCAGTCTAGCATTTGAAATCAGGCCAGAATTTCTCAGGCAACGACAGTGTCTCAGCACCAATGGAGATCTGGAGGTCTTTTCCATCGCGACTGCCTCATGGTCATGTTTGGGACAAGCTGGTCGCTTCCGGTTCACCGAGTTGATAATTGCAGCTTCCTCCTCTGTGTTGTCGGCCAGCACATTCAAAGCAGCTCTGATGCTTCTTCCTCCAGCTCTCTTCCTATTTCCTCCCACAACTTCAACATCTTATTTTCCACACAAGACTCTTATCGTGTTGTATTACACTGCATCTTAGCCTTCGTATACACTTTACCAGATTCAGAGTCGGCACTATGCGTATGCTAAATTGGGCCCTCCCCGTTTGGGGTCTTGCAGCGTACACGACTGCCCGGAACATCATCACTCTGCAGTCGAACCATCAGGTGTCCCCAATTCTTCCTCGCCCCCAGGACGATGTTAGCATTCAACCACTTGCAGTGCGTGCACCAGCTGGCATTCGATGCGGCTCCGGGGTTGGCAAATGTCCAGAGAAACTTTGCTGCTCCACTGCCGGTAGGTTTTCTTGTGCCTCTGACCGGCAAGATCCATTCTGATGCTTGCAGGCTATTGTGGGGATTCCAGGGACCACTGCAGCTCTCCTGACTGCCAAATCGACTACGGCTATTGTGACGCGCACATGACCCCAGGCGGATCTTCCACCGAAGACATTCCCCGTCCTCTTGACGGGGCTGCCCTTTACGGACCTAATATCATTCGATCCTGCACTGTCCCGGGTACTGTCGCTCTAACCTTCGATGACGGGCCCAAGGAGTTCACAAAGGATCTACTCGATCTTCTTGACCGGTACGAAGCGAAGGCGACCTTCTTCATCACCGGCAACAACAACGCCAAAGGTCAGATTGACAGCCCTGGAATGCCATGGGCAGGCTTGATTCGACGTATGCACGAGAGTGGCCATCAGCTTGCCAGCCACACCTGGTCTCACCAGGATCTTAGCAAGATCTCACGGTCCCAGCGTCGCATTCAGCTGTTGTGGAACGAAGCCGCTCTGCGGAACATTCTGGGATTCTTCCCTACATACATGCGCCCTCCTTATTCTAGCTGCACGGCCGAGTCCGGCTGCCTGGCGGATATGGGGGAGCTTGGCTACCATATCATTCTATATGATATCGACACAGAGGATTACAAGCACGACAGTCCAACGGAAATCCAACGCTCCAAGGATATCTTCGATAGTAGTCTGGATGCTCGGACTGCCTTTGACCGTCCCTGGCTTGTGATTGCTCATGATGTTCATGAGCAGACCGTCCATAACCTCACGGAGCACATGTTGAAAAAGCTCACCGCCGAAGGATTCCGACCAGTGACGGTGGGTGAGTGTCTTAGAGACCCTCCCAAGTACTGGTACCGTGAAGACAACACTGTCGATGGCCGCAACTCGAGAAAGGAGGTCTTCCAGGTTCCCTCGAAGATAGTCTCATTCGACGGGATGTGTGGCGGCAATGTCACATGCGATGGGTCCCGCTTTGGGCCTTGCTGCAGTGGAACCGGATTCTGTGGCAACTTGACCACGTTCTGTGGCGAGGGCTGTCAGATTGACAACGGAGTTTGTGACAGCAAAAAGGAGGTCGTTGTCGCTGAAGAAGAACACGCCGACTTCCGACCATCTAGCAAAGTCATATCGAAGGGGAAGCCTGCCAAGTCGGGTGCGAGTCGTATGCTCCAGCCTTCGAGATTTCCCATCGAGCTTGCGGTATTGCCTTTGCTTGCTGTGCTGATCGGATAGTTCAGGGATCGAGAGCCTAGCATACTAGACTTGGCATGGTACGTCATTGATATCCTGGGTGCAGCCTGATCACTATGATTGTGAGTCTGCATGTTTAATTGGCCGAGCCTGTGCTTTGTAAGACGTTTGTACACTCCTTTGAGCATTGATAAGAATGTTATGAAGCTTTATCATGAGGGTCACTGGAGAGCAATGATGATCATTTCTGGTTCATTGGCAGCTTATAGAAGCATCCCGTCGTGGCCTTAATCGAAAACCACCATAGATATAACAATCGAGAAACAATTAAGTATAAGCACAGTAAAAAGCAAAGTGCGCCCTTGTGGGTATTCCGTAAAAGACATGAGTCATGCTTAGATCGCGATTATACAGTCTGGAGCCCCCCCTCCCTCAAACAATATACGTATCTTGAAAGAATAAAAGTAAATAAGAGACTCCTATTTCGATTCCCAACGACCGTTAAGTTCTCTGCTCGGAGAACTGGGAATGGGAAATCACCGCTTAACCACTTTCAACAATGGGGCAATCCGCGCCCGCCGACTCAGCCCGACCCGGAAGGGCACCTTACTCGACGACGAGATGGGACTGTGTTTGTCGGGGCCCTTGTTCGGTTTCAACGGGGTGACAGGAACCGTTTCGACGGGCTGCGGGTCTGGCTGCGGATGGGGAGTGGGATCTGCTTGCTTTGGGGGTGGCATTTGCTCCTCCCCTTCTCGAACACCCTGATGAGCATTGTTGAGGTGGTTGTCGAGGGAGTCATCATCCGGTCCATGCGGATTTCCCATTGTATCACTCTGCTCAGGGAGACGGATCTGTTCTTGCTCTTCCAATGCCGGAGTGTCGGGCACGGGCTCGGGATTCTTTCTCTTGCGGCCGCGTTTCTTGGGTGCTGGTGCTGCTGGTGCTGCTGGTGCTGCTGGTGCTGCTGGTGCTGCCGCCGCCGCTACGAGCTCGAAATTCTCGCTCGCCTTGGGGAAGGAACTAGCCTCTGTGGATTGATGATGGGCTGGTAGGGGGGGAAATTCGACCGCGGAGCTAGGGCCCCGACGCGGTCTTGCGTCTTCCTCCTTTGTTGTGTCTTCCTCGACCCAGAGTACGTCGGGTTCGATATCGGATTCGTAGGTCTTGGTCAGGGTGATGGAGGTGGTTTTGCCGCGTTTGAGCTTTTTCTTCTTCGGTTCTTTGGGTTTGACGGCAGCGGTGGTTGTTTGCGAGATTGGGGATTCTGCGGGGATGTTGTTGTTGTTGTTGTTTTCGGTGAGATTGTGGTTGTGATTTGGGGAGGGATCGGTTGTCGTGGGTTGCGGTGGGGGATCTTGATTCAATGGTTCTGAGGGGTCGGTGGGCGCTGATTTGGGGTTCTTGGGCGGTCGGCCGGGTTTGCGCTTTTCGGCTTTGTTGTTGGTGTTGAGGGGATCGGTTGTGGTTGGAGGGGGCTGTGAAGGGGTTTGGGTGTCTGTGGTGGTAGTAAAGGGTTGGGCGGCTTCGTTATCCTCGGCGTCGTCGTCGTCGATGACGATCACATTCGAGGTGGTTGAGGCATAAGATTTTGGCAGAGATGGTGCGTCTTCCTGCTGCTGCTGCTGCTCCTGCTGTTGTTTCTTCTTGCGGCCGCGTTTCTTTTCCACCACGGGGATTTCCATAGCTGGCACTTGAATAGCAATCAGCTCATCCGTGCTCAGTTGAGTAGGGAGCAGTGGCGTTGACATGGCGGTGCGGTTCGGGGTTGGGTTGCTCGTTGGTGTGCTCTTGTGTTGATTCTCGGATTTTGAACGGCTTGCTTTGACAGCTGAAGGGGCGGGGGAGAAGGGTTGAGTGTCGTGCGGAGAGAAAGGAGTTCCTTGGAGGGAGGCCACTCGGCGAGGAGAGGAGGTCGGTGCTACTTCGGTGGGGACGGTTGCCGCGGAGTTGCTGAAGTTTTTATGATGATGGTGGTCGGTATCCTCAGGGTACACATTCTGAAGAGGTGGGAGCGACGCCTCGAAGACGTTGAAGGATGAGGAGGATGTTTGTGCGGCCGCGGAGGAGGGATCGAAGCTTGGGATAAAAGAGAAATCGTGATGGTGTGGTCGTATTGGCACTTCGACGTGGGTGTGCATAGTGTAAAGATCGGAGAGAGGTGCTTCGTATTGCTGGGGTGGCGGGGTAGCATTGAGGCTGGAGGTGTTGGGATGTGTGTTGGACGATAGCGAAAGCCCTGCCTGCGCCGAATTGATATTGCTATCTATGGCGCTGTACAATGATGTATCGCTGATGTATGGATAGCCGGTGGGGTTAACGCTGGTCTGTTCTTCTAATTGTTGGGGTATCATGGTTTCTGCGTGGATCGATTCCGAGTAGCCGTGTTCATGGGGATGCTGCCTTGATGGGTCAACCATCTGAACCTCATCGTCGTCAAAGAGTCGTTGCTGGGCGAGGCCAATCTCAGTGATCATCGAGCCTTTTGCAGAGCCTTGGTTAGGATGAATGTTCATGATGAAAGCAAAGCAAATGCATGCAACTCAAGAGTCCTACCCATAGATCCGCCTCCCGAGTTCGTGGGGACCCATCTCTCTCGTGGTTGGTGCTGTGGAGACGAGTGCCCCGGAGGCAGTCTTTCCTGAGATTGTAGGTATTGGTCGAAGTCGATATTCATGCTCGCATCATAGTTGCCCTCAATCTCCTGGTGTCTTTGTACATCGGCCTGTAGGTGATCGTCGGCATGCACGTTATCGTATTCCTGCACCGGGGTATGGGGTCCCACGAGAGGATCATCCTCATCGTCCGAGTCTTGAATCACACGGTCATAAGACATGTTCTCGGCTAGGATCGTGCATCGATGGGACTGGGACGCACTGCTGTGCTGTACTGTACACAGCCTTCTGCTAATGAGACTCGGTGAATTCCAATAATATTTGGTCTTGTCGCGTCCCGCCGATACGAAAATCCCCAGATGACGCGAGATCACGTGGTGATAAGACTGACCTCCCTCTTTAGACAAGTAACTATGTTACTCCGTACAGTGGCTAGTTAGGTCATATTTGAATCGAAACACCCAAACACACCCAGGTATGTGATATCATGATCTATTCACATCAAATGCAAGGCTGTGCTAGAAACAAAAAGGCTGCATCACTCCATAGTACTCTGGGGTCGCATCACCCCCCGTCCGAAAAACTCGCTGATTACCCCGAATCGGTCCTTCGAGCGCTGCAGTTCTCCCTTGAACAAATCGTGTTGATCTGCCGATTCGACCTGCCGCTTGCGGATGGCTTTGATGGTAGAATTTTGTGGTGCACAAGCTGGACATTCCGCATCTTTGTCCACCCTGTTGAGGCACCGCTGGTGGAAAGAATGTTTGCAGAGAAAGTGAACCGTAGGCAGATCGAGTGCGCCACCGCAGGAGTTACACCGGCGCGATTGGAATACTACCGGTTGGGTCCCCAATTGCTCCAGCTCCTTACACTTACTTTCAGTCTCCTTGCTGTAACTATTGATCAATCGGCGGTTCTGGATGCTGATGTTAGCGCGAGAAAAACCATGGATCGGGTAGGGTAACAAACCGTAGAGATTTCCTTCCTTTCGCGTTCAATGTTCTCGCTGAGGTACTTCTTGACACGACCCATCGTGACGACTGCGTTGTTACTCAAAGTCTGAATGACCTGCAGCGGGGTCATAAGACCAGCTTCGTCAACACGTTTGAGAACAGCATCCAGTTCGTCTCCTGCTTCCTCGAGAATCTTGGGGCTTGAAGCAAAATAGGTAAGCGCGTCCACGTAGAGCTGCGGATCTTCCGGTCCATATTTCTTCAACGCTTTGATAGCACCGCTGGTATCCTTTGCCGATGTAAAAGAACGGAAGATGTCTGATCGCAGACCTTCTTGCTCGCGGACAAGAGTGGATCCCTCCCGGAAGCCGGACAAGTCGGATAACAGCAGAACACTCGAGGTGGATATAGGTATCTAAGAATATCAGTAACGAAGTGAGACCGGTCTGGGTGATTCCCCTACATCTTTCCCCTCGATGAGCTTCTTGGCTTTGTTCTCCCAAGCCTCCTTGTCAGCAGCATCCTTCTTCCGACCTGCAGTATCCAGATACATTTCAAAGAGGGTTGTATAGAGGTCAATCTTCTCATCCTCTTTCAAATCCTCTTTCTCGATAAGAGCTTCGAGGAATGAGATAAACTCATCGGGGTGGCCGACGAATACTGAAAAGGCGGTTCTTGATTTTGGAACCTGATATTCTATCAATTCTTCGACATCTTCACCTTGGACTTCGCGTGAGCTTTCCAAAGGTTCAGCCTTCGGTCCAGAACTAGCATTCATCAGAGGAAGAGGGAGAAAGGCTGCTAGACTCTGTAAAGTGCTACTCTGCTGCGCTTGTGGTTCAACGGGGGTCTCAACTTCAGTCCTTGGCCTGTACTGCCCCTTGTAGTATTTCGTGAAGAGCTCAGTGGTTTTCTCCGGGCAGTTGGAGAGCAACACCCGGGCATATTTCATCAGGTTGTGGTAAGCCTTGAATGTGTCAGTCTAGAATATGGAGTTGAGTGCATATTTACTGACCAATTCTGGATCCAGCCTCCAAATGTACTCCAAAGCCTCGGCGTATTTCTTTGAGTCCTCAATCAGGATATCAACGACCATATCATTTTCACCATACTTCGTGGCAAGATAGGCTGCTTGTTCGTAATACCCACCCTGCCTACACATTGCGATGGCAGTCTCAAGGTCAAACTTCAGCTCTCCAGGGGCTTTGATGAATTCATCTAGTTTGGTCGTGTCCTTCAATTTGGCGTAGCAATTCAGTAGTAGCGTGGTGTGATCAACTGTGGCTTTATCATGGTCGTGTAACTCCTCCAGATATTCAATGAGGTTGTGTATTCGCTGGGTATCCAGATACTATATCCTGCTCAGCGCACTCATTGGCAACATGGAATTTGGGGCATCCTTACCTTTCGAATGACTTGCGATGGTTCTGTGTTATCAATCGCTCGAAGATACTGTTGCATTGCAGTGTCGTAGTCGCCCCTTTGATATAAGAAATCTCCGT